AATTTCTGAAACCGCCACGCCAATGATTAGGATGTCTTTCTCCAATCGCACTAAAACCGGTTTTCACTCAATTGTGAAAGCTCTCTTCCATCCTTCCTTGGTTAGTGACTGCCAGGAATTAGGAAGGACCGCACTCCATCACCGACATATTCTGGCAAATCTTCATAATTCCACTATTTTTAATAGAAATCGAATGTGTGGCGTATCTGGGGAGAATCGTCAACACACGAGAATGACTTTCCTCTGCAGTGCACTAACATAGTGAGCAGAAGTCAGAACACCGAAAAGCACAAGTCAGAAAATTTGTTACTGGACACTCCCAAAAATCACTTAACACGCATTATATTTACGCAACGCTGATCAACCTCAGACGCACTACAATAGAGAGCTTTATTATTGAGGCATCACTTAGCGATTTCCGCCTGATTTCCATGTGACGCCGAGTATGAGGCAGAGCTTAAGCCATACAGGTGCGGCAGGTAAAGAAACCAGGAAAAAAAATAAATGCGAACCTCACTCCCCGCTGACTTGATAGCGAGTTCAGCGGCCTCACTGGCTGACCCTGGCTCCATGGAAAAGGTCACCGGCGGCGCGGACGCGTTCGCGTGTTGGTGACGTCACAACGGCTGCCAAGGCAGCGAGCAAAGGCCAGCTTTTCCACCATTACTTCAATAAGTTAAGTACTCCGAGCATCTGTCGTGCTCTTACTACACTATGTGATGAGTAGAAGTAAGTTGGAATCGAACATGAAAACTCTCAGCTCAAATTACTGAAAAGTACTCCTAAGGGTTTCCACATGAAAGCCCAAGAAATTTCAACTAAGACAAGGATGGTACCTGAACGTAACAAAATCAATTCTCTTGCGGCACAACTGATTGAACAAGTTGGTATAGTGCCAGAAGCCCAGCCTCATTCAAACAAAGTGGCAGCGGCGCTGGCCACTGCTCGCCTTTCCTTCGAATCTGTCGCAGCTGCGACGTCATTTTGACGTCACCAACACGCGAACGCGTCCGCGCCGCGGGTGACCTTTTCTCTCCCCCCAGGCCATATTGAGTATGGTCCCGATAGAGATACCAAAGATCACAAGTACAAAAATGCCTATTTGATGCAAATGCATTTTTGATGTAAAAAAACGCTAATGATAACGATGTCAACGATATCGCACACTTTAATATCCACGCTTGCAAACAGCGAAGTTTCAAAGGCGGGGGATCCTAGGTTTAGAAGCACACTGCGTTGTTAGCGCACCATTTGCCGCGAAACTGCCAAAACCCGCTTCCGCACTTATGCTACGCCTAGGCACAGACTCAATTTTTAGTCGTATTCCTGAATTCTGTCGTTCATGGCCCAATCTGCCCTGAGGTCGTTCAGGAGATTGAATGGCGCGTGTGATGTTCAGAAGATAATTTACTGCGACTTGAAAGGTCTATTCAAGTGAAATGAAGTGTGATGGCACACTCTGAGCAACCATCGTCGACACGTTAGTTTACGCCTTTCCTTTGGAAGACGAAAAGAGAGTTCGAGGTAGGCAGACCACAGAGCACAAGTGACGACGGCCAAGGAAATAGTGGCTTTTTTTTTCTTGGCCGTCGTCAATTGTGTTGTGAGGTCTGCACTTGACGCTCTCTGCGTCTTGCGAAATAAGAGGTAGGTGCTATCGTCAACGTTCATTCGAGAATGCAGCCGCGTCCAGACCAGGGAAACACCATTGAATCTACCACCCTACGAGAGAAATACTGTAGTGCTAATCAACGAGTATGGTTGTAGTCCCGTAGATTAGTAGCACAGTCGACCGACGAACCTGTCATTTTTGTTCATGTCATCACCCGCGTCCAAAAGTCGCTAGTCTTCAGAGCGTGCTTTCAAAAAGCATCCCAATAAACCTTCGCTTGGGAGTGATACTCTAAACAGGACTTCTTCTACCAGGCGGGATTATTACCCTTAGGGTGAGACCAGATTTGTTCGAAATGGCTTCAAGGGCGGTGCCAGACTTTGCAAATCTAGCGATTCGCTAGGACGGATCCGAACATTCGTCATATGCGATTCCACGGATCCTTTACTAGCGAATTCGCTGATTCTCTTACTCGCAAATCGCTGAGATTCGTGCCGAAGAGTCTGAACACCGCTTGCTGTATTTTCTTTGTCACTCAGTCTCGCTTATCCAGGACCGCAATGCCTCACCACTGATCCTCATAAGGTTCAGAGAGACGGTCCTATCACGATGGAATGCTTCGCAATTAAAAAGATCTCCTAGAATTTAAATATGTTCCAATAGTTTTGCTGAGGATATGCGGTCAGATTTCTCATATCGAATCTCAAATCCTGCAGTAACATCTGCTTAATCAGCTAACATTAGCGCTGCTACTGTCCAACTTCTCACGCCGGAGTCGCTCGTACTGCTTATCGTAGAAAATGAATTCCGCTTTATGGACAACACGGAAACAAATCGGCGATAATGATCCATACGGAACCCTGAACTATTAGAACAATAGCACTAAAACTGCGCCTGCTCCTTCGGCAGGCTACAAATTTATATTTGGCTCATGAATTGAGAACCCGAGGAAATTGGGAATACAATGACGCCGCTCCAACATGTCTGATCAACACGAGAAAACAAACGAGTTGAAGAGAGAAGTGAACAGTAAGTAAATTTGAGGCGGAACTGAAAGCTTTCAAAGCAGTCATCGCCGCCGATTTCCATCGCCGTCTGTAGGAAAGCCATCTAGATGGCAATCGCAGATTGCATCGCGCACGAATCCGCCGACAAGCAGTGCTAGGGCCTGCAAGTTGGTGCAGCTGCAGTTTTTTTCTTTTATCGGAGTGTTGTTTGGGCCCTTTCATCTGTGGCGCTCTCTCGCCTCATACTCTCCTATCCACGCTTACTAGTTCTCATTACTTAGGCACAGCCGATAACAAGGTGGAGTGAGCCCTTAACCTAAGCGTTTTTGACGGATTCCTGTCCTTTTTTCATTACTGCCGGCCCATTCGCACCAATACATTCGCATTCATGTGCAAGAGCCACACCAATTTGATCCCCGAGCATGTCATTAATTGAAGAACAGCTTATTGGTTTCTTCACAACACCTATGCCTATTGGTTTCTTCACAAAGCCTACCTATGAAAAGGATTCTAAGGGTTCTTAGGGAACAGCGAGGTCTTGATTCCTTTTCCTGCTCAAAAATGGTGAAAACATGAAGGAAATTCTTTTATGTTAGCTGCAGCTATCACTGCCAGCTTGTTTGAACGCGATTAATTGAGCGTATTGCTCAAGTACCTTTTGGGTGAAGGGAGCAAAAGTAAACGCCCCATGTACATAGTTGAGAAAGGTAGCTCAGAAAACACTGCCAGAGAATAAAATGACCAAACCCACGCCAAAGATCAAATTCGCCCATTCCGCTTACTTGACGAAGACCGTCTCACTCTCACAAAGGCTAAGACTAAACTGAGAACTGATAAAGCCTTATCCAACCTGGCCAGCCCAATTCACTATCATCCTAATTTTGAAAAAGACGTCTTAGGATAGCGCGAAATTTCCAGAATTTTGTCACTCAACCTCCTTCCTGTATTCCGAGATATAGTGATCAAAACCGAAATGAGATGCATCAGGTGTCGTAATGAATACCAAGGAAAACTTCCGAATTCAGATTCAGAGAGGCGGAAAACGAGGGATCAGCAACTTGAAAATCACGACGATCCTTCAAAGAACCCTCAAAGGAAATATCGATCATGACAACGTCTAATGAGTCCGAAGTAGGCGAAAACGGACACCCGCTGAAAAGGCACGCGATAACTCCTAAATGGTGCAGACCGTCCCGCATTTCGGCATCGAAGCGAGTGCTCTCGGCGATCTACCATGCCTATGTCTGCAGCGGCTAATCCGCGCGGCACGCCCCACTTAACCGCTAACCATCCGCGCAGGCATCTCTAGCAGTTTTAGGCATGAGAAGCGTTCCGCATTTGAAGAGGCCAGTATCGCTGAAGTCACGACATCAATGTGAAATAAATAGCAAAACGATGGGACCTTCAATTTGCTTGGTTCTGAGCCCATCTGCTCATCGGTTTTTTTCTCCACATCAGCGCCCACTGTCAGCACCAAAAGCTCGATTTTTTTCATAGCACCTCTAGTGGTAAACCCCACGTTCAACCTTATCTGTAACGCCTCCTTGATCCTTCGCCAGGCGACAAGGCTGTAGGATGGGGCCAGATGGAATAAAGGCATCCTACCGTACATACAGCAGATAAAAATCGAATGGGGGGGGGGGTGAGCGCCTGAGGCTTTCAGCGGCTTGAAACGCAGTCAAAATTGAGTTACTGTAGCCCAAGCCTCCGGCAATAAAGGGCATACTGTCTCGAGAAAACAAATCACAGCGGCATACTGTCATCGAGCACAAAAGAGGATATAAGCACATAAGAAACTAACACAACAGTTTCCTTACTTCCGAAGAAGCCTGGACGCTCGAGAAATGTGAACGTGCCGCGCCGCGATCACAAAACACTCGTGCCGATCTAACCTTTCCACACAAGGCAGCACACGATCTCGCCATCCATAAAGGTCGTAAATCTTTCTGATTACGGCATTTTTGTCGATCTCATTCATGAGTACGATGTGTTTTTTCAAATGAAGGACGAAGGACACGTCGCGTTGTCTGGATTTCAGAGCCATTAAAATCAACGACTATGCCCAGCTTTTTTGCTATACTTCGATAAGAAACATCAGAGAGTTGAAAGGTCAAGGTAAACTCATCATTCAAGAAAGATCGCAGCAGCATTTATTTGATGAGCCGCTTCAAATTGACGACGGCCTCAAGTCGCTTCGCATTTCAAACTTTACAAGATGCCAAGGAAATCTTAAGGACTAAAAAACTATGAATTATATTTCACAAAGAGTGGGGTGTGAGACGAAACTTCCGCGCCCAGGCCGAGCCTCGGACACTGCACCTCTCGCTCTATGATACTGATGTTTTATCGGGCTGAACCGTTAAGACAGACAAATCCGCCAGCTAAACTGCAGACGACGTCGCTGCCATCCTCACAGCATTATCAGCCAGCTCGCCAGGAGTGACGTATAACTACAAAAAATGACCGATGGTTAGATTCAAGAATAAAAAGCTTCCTATAAATAATCGCCATCGACTAAGTCTATCAGATCATGGTGTCAAAGCGCCGCCTTTTGACCGGCATCGCATACATTCAGCGCAAGAGTGTCGGACAGCGCTCCATAACACAAAATACAGCGTTGCTGGCCGTCCCGTTACAATTCTCCTGAAAACAGTTTATGCATTATTCTTTGATTCTCAACATAAACAATAAATTAAAGATTCATTTTCAAAGGACTCTGTCTTAAGGTCACTAGTAACCATCACTGCATTGAGTACAGTTTCTGAAGATAAAAAAGCATTTTAAAATCAGAGGAATATCAGGAAAGCCTCATTACGTAACGAAATTAACTTCGTACTGAACGTAAGAAAAAAGCTCCAAAATTGGACGCATACGATTACCATAAAAGTGAAAAGTTCCATAAAGCATAAGTATTCTTCAAAACCATTAGAAGCTTCAGACCGCACATTAATTGCCAGCTCGCTTCCCACTTATGTACCTTCTCCCGAAAGATATCATACATTGTGCTATTTATAGGCGTAACTCTGTACTGGCATCTTTTTTCTCCTGATCACTGGTCTACATGTCCACTAATCGTACGCAATGAGGCCCTAAAGAAATTCATAATAGAGCCACACATAGATAACGTCCAGCGGTTATTAAGGGCCAGCCACACAGCAGTTCCATCAAGGATCAACAATTGCGATGAGAAAATCGAAGTCCGTACCGAAGTTCGTACAACCCGCTTCTACTTGGCCGTTCGCCTATTACCCCACTCAAAAACTGAGCTCTCCACGCGCGTCCAGCGCTCACCTTACTTCTCTTTAGTTTCCACCTCAATGTCAATTGTCCCACCTAAAACAGTCCATATTTCAACGTCAGATTACGCGATGCCGGTGGCCGTCGCCGCAGTTTATAGAAGCCGTGTGATGAGTGTTTCGCCGGCTCTCGCTCAGCTATCCGCAAGGCATTGCTTATACTGCGCGCTCTTCCTACACCAGTGCGGCGCCGCTCTCGCCAAATCCAATGCCACGCCATGATCAACTTCGAGATATGGATATAGCACCCATCGTCGAATGTGGCGAGGACGAGAAGATTATCACCGAAACACGACAACCACCCACTCCGCCTTCTCTCCACATTCCAAAAATCATAAGTACCGATCCTGCCAGTTCCCGCAAGAGACTTTGACCTTAGGATCCTGCCGGCCAGCCACTCTGCCTTGGGCATACATCACCATGTTATTCCCACACATCGTTATCCACTCTGTCTATTTAAATCTATTTATATACAAACACTATTTCAAAATTTTAACTAAAATGCACTATTGTTTTCCTAGAAGAATTTCTGAAATGCAATCGCCGCCCTATCTACAGCTTGCCCAACTGTGACCTCCTCCTGTTTGCCACCATTACCTGCCTCGCGTCACAAGCATCTTGCCACTCTAATAACGGCATATAAGTAAAGTAACTACCTAGCCTGCAGTCTCCGATAAACTCGACCGTCCGTTGCCAGATTCCCCAATTCGTCACCGGCTGCGACGCACTTTACACAGTGCGTAACCTCCACGACGTACACACGTGGTCGACGTCAGGAGCCAGACGCTGACCGCAGATAGGTACAAGATGTCAGGCAGACACTGCACCTTAAATGCCTAAAGGTGTCAACTGCCAATAACGAAAATCGTTTCATATCGTTCTGTTAATCTTTATTTTCCGCCTCGGGGCACCGCGATTGAGTCGTAATTGCACACATATAACACTGTAGCATCAAAAGAGTCCGCATCGACTAAACAGTCGAAAAAGATCCTCTCAGGGCCTTTTTTTTTATCGTGGCTTATATCAAGTCTGCATCGACCGGCTAAAGTAGACCGGGGCGGTTTCCGTGCGCGACGTTGATGATCGTGCCGGCCCCGGTGAAACGAAAGATAGTCTGATTCTATCACAGAATGACGCAACTACCAGTCCAAGTCATGCTTTGTACCTTTCCTAAAGAACCTTGCTGTAGATCAGCTTCACCACCCGTTCCTTTCACAGCAGTCAAGAGCTTTCCCGTCAGCGAATAAGAACGCAGTTGGCGATCTTGGCACGATGCCAATATCACTCCACCACTTGCTGGGATTAACAAATCGTTGATTCCCATTTGAGCCGAGATCAGATTCTCACGAACAAATTGTATGGCGTCCTGCAACGCTCATAGTAGCCATTAAATCTTCAAAGCCTCTTCATGTACTATTAAGATCATGGAAAATATTTCACGAATAATGAAGAAATTAAGTCTGTACCTGCGTAAAAACCACTAGGTGCCATATAATGATCGTCTTGTCGGAACCGCACGTGAAAAGGTAGAGCTCGTTGTTGTGGTTCTGAAACAGATCACTTAAAGGAATCCTTCATGGAAAAATCATGATTCTATTTCACCCATAATTTACTGGCTTGGGACCCATCGTTCACGATAAGAACGAAAAGAACAAAAAATTGCATTTGTTTTGGTAAAAATTCGAAAAACCGAAAGGGCTGCTACGCGTTCAAAGTACCGCCGCACATCTGTCACAAATGCTGGCGACGGGGATGCTTCCACTTGGTTCTTGGAGTGCCGTCACTAGAAACTCTTTCTGGCCTTTTGACTTATTGCATTCACATCTCACACTTCTACTCCATCCTATTCTATCGATCGATTTGTCTCTACTCTCCGAAATCGCGCGCTTTAACCCGATTCTTTCATTGCGTCGCCTGATACGTAGCCGGCCAAAGGCCAACTTCTTTCCATGCCTCGCCTTTGGCTCCGCCCGAATTACCTTCGATTGTCCATAGAGTGTAGTTTTTGTACGTTTGTTTCTCTTCGGAAACCGAATCTTCATGCGTGAAACTTTGTGTGCTGTTTCCAGTGATCACAACTGACACATTCATGTCAAAAAGAGAATTTCCACGAAGTTCGTATTTTGCAGTGTCCCATACCTTCCCAAGGCATTAATACGCCTTTGACGACCATGTGGCCCGCCGGTGGGCCACACTTTCGCTCGTGGCGACACGTTTTTAGGGGTTTATTTTGGCATTTTTATGTTTCAAAACTACACAAATACATCATCGAATTCGCGGAATAATGCGCTAATTACTGATAGTGAAATTGTTGGAAAGTTAATGATTATTGATGAAAAAATTTAGAAAGAAGTGAAGTGACGCATTCATAACGGCGGTCGTCAAAGGGTTAATATCTGTGTTTTTTCACAAGGTTGCTTCGCTTAGTAAGAAGCAACGTCCTTTTATCGCCACTCCACGTGACTCTTATTATGTTATACTCATTCGTACAGTAGTTGAAGGAAGTCGTGAACCAACGAGCAGTATGGGTTTCGAAGAATCAAATACTGCAAGGAGGGGTGTAAACAGGTAACTAATTGCACTTATTACAAAAAATTGACTAGCCGAGGTTAAATTGAGTCCCGACGGAGTAAAGTCGGTGCCCGCGACTTGCCAACAAATCGCGTGTGGAGGCAATGCGCCATCGTTCGAGCGATATACCCGAAACAGATAAACCGGCGATTCGAGAGTGCAGGATTCTGGCAAGAGCCCCTCCTGGTCGCACAATGACTCTTGCCACTTTCCGAGCTCTTATTTATTTGCGAGCATGGAGAAGTTGCGAGAGCCATGGTGCGACAAGCATCTCGCGCCACTTTTGCACTCTCTAACCGCTGTGCAAATGCCAAACGGGCGGCACCGTTCGAACCGCTTCGCTCGTATCCAGCAATTCACTAGTGTCGAAGTCTGGCCTAGGCCTAATGGGCTATCGGTCAGTGCTCGCGATTTTCAAATGACGACCGAACACGAAAACAAGACCACACACACATTTGGGTGATCCCTTGCATATGTATTTACCCTAGTGTAGCACATTTTCAGTAGTTTTATGATATGTCGCGAGCTGAAGGAAGTGAATCCCAATAAAAAAAAAAGAGTTCAATACACGGTACGCACCTGTACAAATCGAACCGCATTCAAAGCACTCTGATGGTCATCAATCACGTAGCACGGCTCGTAACTCGATTCCCCTGGTCGAAACAGGTGCACTAGACGATCACGACCGCCGGACGCAAACAGGTAAGGGGCTCCTGAAAGTGGTGACGAGAGATTCGCACAACAATAGTCCCAGCGCTTAGTTGGACGTTTCACGAGTGCGCCATGCATGCGTACTCATACTGAATATTGAAAGGAAAGCTAACCTCGTGTATTGTCCGAATATTCAACACATTGCACGTCGAGCTCATGTGCCCCAACCACTTCTACAACGTGCATTTCAGGATCAGTGAGATCGATTATGCTGAAAACAACGAAACTTTTTTCGTTTTTTATTTATTAGGAAGAATTTTTCGCAACCCAAACGAGGATACAAAGGGTAAGACAAAGCTTTCGCCATCTACTGAGATGCGCCACGCATGCTACTCATACCTAGAATAGCAGTAGCATTTTAAATGTGAATGGGCATAAGCAACAACTTGCATTCAAGTCGACATACAACTTCTCACCCTCCCAGATGGGTTTGATACCAACTATCGACCATGGAAGGATTTGAGGTTCAGAATTGGATTGGGCGAGATTTGATCCAAGAATCACCCCCCCCCCCCCAGGTGCGCTTGGTGCGCTATACATCTTGCTCAATTCACGGTGGGTCTGGCCTAAATCTCAGGTTAGAGCGCATAGTTCCTTTAGTATTGAAATGGCAATCATTCCCTATGGGAACGATCAGAGTTCAGTTTATAGAGCCATAGTCTCAAATAGCGACTCAAAAAGTGATTCTGGAGACCCCATCCACGCATCGGTCGTTGACGGCGGCTCAGGCCAAATGTTTTACAAGTATAAAATTTCTTCAATCAGCATTATATGGCATTTTACCTTTGTTGAAAAAAATTCCAAACCCATGCAAAAGGAAGTTTTATTTAGGCTAGCCAGCGCAAGAAAATGCAAAAGGCAGTCTCCCACAACCTCAGCGGTCCCTATTGCGAAGCTACCACTGCGAATGGGTTCAGACTCCCTGCATCCACATAATTCGAAAAGAATATTCATCTACGAACAAAAAATTAAAAGATGCAACCAACTGAAGATTTCCGCTTTTTGTGCCAGCCACCAGATGTTTGCCGTCAGGAGAGACCGTCAAACATCGAATTCCGGTCATCGATTCAACTCTTTCGCTGGCACAAGACCAACATCTAGAACTCCTAATTTTGAAATTCTTACAAGTCAGAATTTGACGAAAATTCATTCAGATTTTTTTAATTATGAAAGAAGATTAACTGACCTCCGCGTGGTTCCACGAGTGCTGAAAAGTTATCTTCAACGTGTAAGGGGGGGGGGGGGGGGGGGGGGGATGATCTTTTGAGAAGTCGGAAGACACCACATTGGTGGAGGCATGAACAAGCCTAGAAATTCGGTAGCTGAAATTCCTCTCGCTCGCTCTGCACACTTTTTTCGTTGCTCGATTTACAGTCGATATCTCGAAGTCTGATTGGGCGTGTCACCGGAAATGACGTGGCAGCCACCGCACTTGATAGAAGTTGCGCGGATAAGCTGCTTCCAACACGCTTTGCTGATATCTGGCGGAGTATTTTATCCACACAACATCTATCAAGTGCGGTGGCTGCCACGTCATTTCCGGTGACACGCCCAATCAGACTTCGAGATATCGACTGTGAGCTTTTTTAGTGACGTCCAAATAGTGAAAAGCTAAAAAAGAACGTACTCTGTCCTTTTTCCTTTCCAAACTCCATATTCGAACTGTGCTGTCCACACCGGCAGTGATAAATGACCCACTGGGCAAGTATGGGAAATGCGACGGATATCGCTAAATACAACAAACTATAAAACAAACAACTGAATTATTCTATCAAATATTTTCAGGCAAACATTCAAACAGTACGAACCCAAAAATGGATAAAAAATATCATTATATTATAATAATACTTATTTACACTTTGATGATAGTGAACCTTTCCGCTTTTTGACCGCGAAGGATAATTGCGCTTGCCAGCGCGCTCAAAAAATTAGAGATTGACTACTAGAGTGCCCAAAATAAATGTACCACCTAGATCTATTGGACCACTTCGATCAATCACGTTCGATAAGATTAAAGAAAAGATATGTACAACCTCAAAGGTGTTTCGAGGGCGGCAAAAAACGAATGTGGTGGTATCTGAGGGTACCACGTAGCCCTACGCGGCCGCAAAGAGCGGTACCCTATGGTTTCACGGTGTTGTTAGGGTGCTAATTCCAAAATCTCAAGTCCAGAATAACTTCAAAGCGTTTTAAAATCAAACTTTTAATTATTCAACTACCAACCTTGACAACAGTAACCGCTCCCACATGGGCTAGTGAGCTGGACAGCTTCTGCCATTGATTCGTGGCATTGCCTCGTGCGAAAGACGAACATTGAACGATCCGAGTAGGCGGCAATAAAGGATTCAGGACTCGACGACGTCGCACACAACGCTCGCACGTCGGGATAGCTAAAAGATTTCTTATTTCATTAACCCTTTTCAACTGGACGACACAGCATATTCTTGTGGAACGAATGCAACCGCACCGCTTCTTTGAATCCTTCACGATTTTAGTGAAACTTGATTCTTGCCTGCAAGGTCAGGAAATCAGTTTTTCACTGGTCACAATTTGCAGATAACATCAAACATATGTGGACGATCTACTGGGAAATACACTTTAACTGCAAATAGTTGGAGTTTGTAATCTTCTTTGCGTTCACACAATCGCCAGTGCTACGCGAAGGCCAGATATGTTACAAAATCGACTTCAATGAACTTCTTTCTGGTAAACAAGAAGAAAAGCTCAGAGCGTAACATGCTGCGTGTAACCTGCTCTGGATGAAGTTCAAAAAAGGATCAAGCTTCGTCACAGCACCAATTACGCGACCTGGGACGGGAGGCTTGACTGGCAGACCATGACCATTCGCATCCAATCCCGGACCGCGCGCGTGGTAAGCAGCGACACTGCACTTGCACCTTCCGCCCAATGACACTGCTTCAATTTTCAGGACGCGAAACAATTTCCTTTAACGCGGAGCCATAAAGCCAAGAAGGAAAATAATAAAGAAAACACAAGAAATAGATGTGATGTTTAAAAATTTACCTCACCCTTTGGCTGAACTTCGAGCGCTTCTGCCGTGCTCGCGACAGCTGGATCCATTCCAATATAAGCCGGATGAGGTAAACGGCATCGCATTTTAAGGTCATCCTTTTCGTAGATTCGAATCACACCGTTCGTACAACCAGCTGAAAGGTTTTATAATTGAATGTTTCCGAGATGCGAAGCATTAATTTTTAATTGACAATCTTTTTACTTAATTATCGCCGGATGATTATTCACTTTATTTCATTATTTGATAATATCACTTATGTATTACAATATTTTTATCGGGAATAGTTGAACTAAAGCTCCAAGCTTCTACAATAATGTCGAAATCGAAGTTCTGCACAAAAACTGAGACTCAGAAAGTAAACCAACTCACCACTACTGCATCCTTGGTAGCCGACAAACATAACGGCAGACTTGGATCGTCGAACCGATACGTTTTCACGTACTGAAATGAAGTTCGAATGGAAAATTTGCATTAACACGTTGACGACAGCGCAGGACACATACGTCCCGCACATTTGCAGGCCATGACGGACAGCGCGGGACGTATGTGTCCTGCACCCATTACATTCCTTTTCAGCGCACGCGTGATTCTTTTCTAAGTTTATTGTGTTTACTCCATGGAATAAGCCCTAGCATAGCCACAAACATAGTAGCTCGTGAAATGGTAACGTATATTTTAATTTAGGAGTAGGCTTTTAGAACTGCACGAAATTTTATGTCTGATTAATTTTTCGTTTCCATTTTCCCTTCATGAATGTGAAGGTTAAAAGAGTAGTAGGAGTAAATAGGTGACCTAAGAGATGATGACATTTGTGTTTTTGTTAAAATGATTGAAGTGAAACAGCTTTTGAGGTCAATTGCAGCTAATTCTGACAATTTTTGCATTCTCATTGTTAGTTCAAGTCTTCGTATCGAAATTCCATTACTATATCACCCTTCCAAGCTTATGTTCACTTGATATCACTGTTTCAATTTTGTATCACCCATGTTTTATGTATTTAGCACTCAAAATCCGCTTGAATTACCTGACGCATCCGCGCTCGCAAAATCGCGCCGGTCCCACGCGGCCAAAAAAGCCAAAACGCGCATTGTCGTCAACGTGTTAATCAATGACATTATTTCCACGTGACCGGGTCCTCCTTTCGGGAATGAACATTAGCAAGGCTAAACTCGGCTATCCTACATCCTGAGGTCCATTTGGGAACTCCGCCCTTGGGTGTCCTGCGCACCACAAGTACTTGCGATGATGTGTTTACGATTTGCACAAAGCCGTAAATAAGAAACCCGCACAATGGACTGGATAAGGACTATCATACCCCTTTGCGACACAGCATCTACCATAGAATTCTGAAAAACGCAAGGTAACCGAAGTGGTAATAGAGGGCCCAACGATGCTTCATGGCAATTGTGATGCCCGTAGCAAAAGCATGAGTATGGAATTTAACTCCGTTGAACTAGGAAACAGATGGTAACCATCAGAAGGCACCAAGATCGATTATCCAGAAGGAGAAAAAACAGACTCCGAAGTTCAGGGCGAAAAGAGTTAGGGAGAGGCTCTTACCAGGAAATGTTTTTGACTTCCCATGGAACTTTGAAAGGAGACCTATGAACATCGATAGAGTTTCGGACGCTGAGTACAAATATGGACATTAAAACTGCTACGTGAACTTTATAAGAAAGTTACGAGCATTCAAAGTTGGCAAAAAACGTTACTGAGGCGAGCTCACCTGATGAAATCACGGATGCTTTTTGTCTGGTTTCTTGTTCTATAAGGGTTAGTGGGTGCCCTGATTACGAATTTGATACTCGTTTTTAGCGCAGAGCCACGGCGAGCGTGATTCCATCAGGTAAGCCTACCTCAGTAACGTTTTTTGCCAACTTTGAATGCTCGTAACTTTCTTATAAAGTTCACGTAGCAGTTTTAATGTCCATATTTGTAATCAGCGTTCAAGACTCTATGAGTCATCTAGGTCTCCTTTCAAAATAATTTCGTGTAATGTAAGAGCGAGGGAGGTCATCAGAAAGCCAAGACCATGGCAGGGGATGCTCTGGATGGGAGAAAGTGGCGCGTTTCATAAGAGCAGCGGACCTCCTGTAACGACTTCAAGGGAGAAGGAGAATTAAAGGGAGATTGTGCAACTTTGCGAAATTTGATGAGTTCTCGGCATCACGGAGTAAGCCACGTACTCCTTGATGGCCCTTTCAAAATACCATACAATGCAATGAAAAAGGGCTTTAGTTTCAGCTACCAGTCCAAGTAGATTTCTCATACAAATCCTGAATATCTCATGAACGTGCACTGTTAAGCTTCTCCGGAGCCAGTATATGTTGCAGAAGAACCAACTGTAGTAGATTTACAAACCTTGGTTTGATTGAGTTTTATACAAGGCACTATTTTGGGAATATATCCATTTCGCAGCGAGAACGCTTCCCTGAGTCAACCTCAAACTATTACCTTCTTGTTGAGGAATTCCACTAGCGCTCCATCTTCCGTTACCGACAGTACTCGATTCGCATCCAAAAATACGACGTCAACAAATATGGAACTTCTTCGGTCGGCAAGAATCGCAGAGCGTGACTGAAACATGCAGCCGGTTTGTTTTACTAGTGAAGATACCAGATTTTGAAATGAAACGTAGAGATCAACTCTCATAAACTGTTCAGAATATGGTAGGTGGTTCCGCAAAAAGATTTTAAATTCCAACGGGTCGGCATGTTTATCAACCGCAGGATGCGCCACGCATGTGACATCAATTAATACTCAATCGGGGTGAAAATCATGCGATGACCACCTGGTTTTAACCTTTACATGCAGATTTAACTACAAGGCTTTTCTGAAGATTTCAGAGTGGGATTGAGCAATCCCACGCGGGAAGTTTCACAAAAAAGCTTGACTAGGAAAAGTGAATAAAGTGAAATCTACCTGCAACCCAGCACCGTGTTGCGAATCACCAGCTGGAAGATGCCAATATTTCACATGCTTTGAGCCTACAGTCACACACATCGTGCTGTCTGGAGAAATCGCTATAGCATTCACCTGAAAACGGAACTTTTCAGACCCTCAAATGGCACCAGAATAAATTTTCCATATCGACCGCCGATTATTTGACTCGATTGTTGCACTGCACTGCATTCTTTCACGATTTCCATTTGGATCGTCAACTCAATATTTAACCTTAATTATTGAGTTGACGATCCAAATGGACTTCCAACCGTTCTTTGGCATCGATTGGGCTCACCCATTTTTTGAATAATAGCGCGTCATAGCGCGAGCCATGAGCCTACTTACAATCTTCTACCTTATGACCCAACCAGTTTGGCTGCGCACTCTTTAACGTGCACCACACAGGACCGTAGAGGTATAAAACAGGGTCAGCGATATATTTAGCGCTTCCTGGCAAACTCCGCCCACCATGGTGCACGCTCCACCCACCGTAGCGTTTGCCCTCCATTCCTTCGATAACCCTCATCCACTCTTCCCGGCCTTCCTGGGAATCCAACTATAATGTTTTATGGCGAAACACCGCCCACTTTGGTGCTCTCCACGCCCACCGGTAGCACGTGACTCTCTTCTTTTGCTAGACTATTTCTTTTTTGCGGTTTCTGCGACCCTCGAGATCGTATTATGAAGAAACAAAGAACAGAAGTATATGGACACCGTGTGGAAGGAATTGCTGGAAAACCGCTGATGTTAGATCAAAAAGTAAAAAATGTCAATTTGAAAGAAAAATTAGACTTATGTAACAATTAGGTGAGCTTAGAAAGCCACATGTGATCCATGCTTCCACAAGATTTCTGAAAACTCACAACAGCTGTGACTTTCCCCGTGGCCAGCTTCGATCCGCTTCGCCAGTCCCAAACACATATGGTGGCGTCATGCTGGCAACCAACGGATATGAGCAAATTTGTTCCAGGCACAAATCGCTGAAATTGAAGCCATAAATAAAGCACATAACACTGTAAAAACTACCAAGCGAAATTGAATTCACAGAAAAAGCACTTTCTCAATCATACGCCAGAAACCATTAAAGAATTGACGGAGCAGAAATGCGGATATGAAGAAGAGAAATATTAATTGAAAACTCACTATGGCAACTATGGAATTCGAGTGAAAAGGAAAACTTCGTATTGACTGTCCAGTAAAATTTCCCACATCATCACGGAGTTCCCATACTCGAACATGAGGTTGATGACCAGACTGAAACATGATTCACGGACTATTTAAGTACATTTAATTCAGAGCCAATATTCAACTGTAGCTATGCAGTTCAGCTGCTTAAAAAAACGCTTACAACTCTTCTCAGGAAGGGAGAAACCTGCGGCCAACTAAAGATGAAAGAATAGGCCTCTGACCTCCCCCTCAAGTAGTCTGCTATGATACCAAAATTGGCAGCTACATCCTACCTACAGCTCAGCTCAGACATGGGTTGGGCTGGAGAAAGGGCTTTGCTAAATACCGGATTGCTCTGCCACCTGATAAGTTTGTTCTGCTGACTGGGCTGATAAGCATTAAATGCCTCACTAGTCGGAACTAAAGCCGGGAGCGTGGCCCACTCCCTGAATGAAGATCAGCGCCTGCTCCTTCTCCATGAGCTACTGCTCAAGAGGTAGGATTAACCGAGACATGAAGTCTATAGTGGCAAACTGAAGGAGGAAGGCGTTTACCACACACAGGGCCTGA